ATTATTTTTTGTTCTGTCTGTCGTCTGGACGGGAGGGTGGGCGATATTGTCAAAACGGGGGCCCGGCAACCGAATGAGGCGTGTTTTGGAGCAATTGGGAGTGTGGGATTGGGCCAACATGTCACATGTCTATGAATTGCGCGCCGATCCCTGCCTCATGCGTCATCGAGGCGGGAGGGTGACGAGTCCTGGCCGGTCCGGCACGGTCCAGGCTCGAGCTCCACCCGCCCCTCCCGACGGAGCAGACCTCGTTTTTGGGGCACGCGGTCGCCGGGACTCGCGGCCCCACCCAACGGATGAGTCAGCCCGACGGATGCAGCCCTCTCCCGTGGTGCTGGGGGTGGGAGGTGAGACGACGCTTGTGCTGGTGTCGTGTCGGTGTGTGTCTGAGACGCGGGAATCCAATCGATCCAACCGGCGATCCATCCAATCGTCAATCGGGTCTTGACCGGAATGCTTGTCCAACCGACTCCACCGGACCGCTGTCTTTTTGTCGGCGTGTCGGTTGTCTCGCGGTCTCCCTGGCCTGAGTACATCAAGTCGATGGTGCACTTGTGTTGGTGTGTCTCAGTCCCTCTGGTTGTTGTCAGTGTGTCGGCCTCGCCCCGCAGACCGGAGATGTCTGAATGACTGTGGCTCTGGTTGTGGGTGTGTCACAGCCTGGTACCATCGTGTCTGGTTGTGCTCATGCCGGGCTGGATGTGTGCCCACAAGCCGCCGCACCACCGTACCGCGGACACACCGACACGCCATTGCTGATTGGTTGACTGCCGCCTCGACGGGATTAATCAGCACCGCAATCGATCGTCTCATTGGATCCGTCTTCTGTCGGCACCTCAAGTCACGAGTGTTGGATTATGTCCGCCTTTTACGTGAAACTGGATAAATAAACTGAATATTTTTTTCGAAAATCGCTCCTGTTTCCTTACAACTGCTGACTGGCGACTTGGCCATCTCCACACCTTACGTCGGTAACCATGGCGATAGACAGCAGCTTCATCTCCGGCTCAGTACCACTCGTCAAAACGGAGCATGACGGCGATCCGCTCGACCCATTCGTCCGTGCAACAATTGCGGCCTCGTTCCAGCCCTCGCGGCTCTGGCTTAGTTCCTGAGTAGACGCCTGCGAGAGTGTTCGAGAAGACCGCCCCATTCGTTAAGTCGACTTTAGCTTCTGACGTGGCGTTCCACGCCGCCGGAATGTTGGCATCGCATTGGTCCATCGCGGAAAAACAACAAAGAAGTGGACTTCTTGGCTCCGGTCTGCAAGTCTAATCGCCAGACAAATATGCACAAAAGAAGTGTAACCACGGCGATTAACTCGGTTTCGATGACTCTACTGAGATGGCATTGTTGAAGAGTCCTTCATTTTGGATGAAAGTGCCTGAAGAAAAGACTCGAAGGTCACTGTCATCAGAAGAGGACGGCTGATTTGTGTTGAAATGCAGCCGTTTGGCTTTGATACGACCACACGGACTGATGCAGTCCGCGAGACATTCTCACTTGCTTCGTGTTAACGTGACACTTTTACAGCTTTAATCACTTCCAACATGAAATGAATGAGATGCGAGAGAGGATGTCGCGTGAATTGCGTCAACATGAAGGTCGTATTAAACCCAAACGGCTGCAGTACAACACGAATCAGCCGAATCTCTTCTTCATGCAATCTCGTATCAAATGATAGTCTCTCCTACGAAGTCTAACCAATTGAACATAGCCACAGTCTTCGTCTTCACAGGTCTCTTCTTCACGTCTCTGGTTTATTACCAAACTTATTAAAAGCGTTGGGAAGACTTTCATTTAGTATGAAATTGCATAAAGATGAGAATCGTGGGTTTTATTCAAAATGTAAATCTTCCTAACTTTTGTAAGTTTGAATGAATAAACGGAAAACGCGAAAAACCGTCTGTGAAGACAAAGACGCTGATTATGTTCAACTGTTCAGACTTCGTTGGAGGGACTTTCATTTAGTCTGAAATTGCATGAAAAGAGATTCGTTGGTTTTATTCA